TATATATATATATATATATATATATATATATATGTATGTATGTATGTATGTATGTATGTATGTATGTATGTATATATATATATATGTATGTATACATACAATAGATAGATAGATAGATAGATACTGGTTTTATGCTAATTTCCAAGTTACAGTTTTGTGCTTCGTTAAAAGAAATTTTACACACTTTAATTTCACCCAAACAAATAATTTGTCCTAGTTTTACACACTGATCCAACACTTATTGTCACATTTCATCAGAAGCACACTCTTCTTAAAGCCCCAAATGGCCCATTTGATTATGGTCTCAAAATCACTTTTATGCTTTTGTCTAAAATTTGCAAAAAGCCAGCTCCTCACTCTTTGTTTGAGCTGTACCAAACAAGCCAAGAAGGTGAGAAGTAAAAGCCTCTGTAACGAACGAGCAGTTTAATGCAGCTCAAGAGCAGGGTTGCTGTGGGGAATTGTGCGTCTTCAGGTGAGCGTTAAGCTTTTTATCATTTCAGATTATTGATATGCACAAAAAAAGCTAAGAATAGAAAACAAATTAGCAAAAAAAGCAAAAATCTATGACAAAATATAGCTCTGTTTGTATACTGCATCTGTAGATGGTTTCATGAAACCTAAGAGAATATTTTACAAATCTTTGCTTTTAAATACCAACAAGTCTTAAAATGTATTTATCCTTGCAGCTTGGTGGTTTATACTGTTAAATGGGAACTCTTGGGGTATCTTTCTCAACAGGGAACACGGCTGCTAATAAAGACAAAATACATTTTGATGTTTTACTTCAGTATGGCAGAAATAATCCAAATATCTTCAGGAAAATTACAAAAGCTCAGCTTCTCCTAAGTTATCATTAAAATGCCTTAGTTCAATGTCATTTTTTCACATTGTGATTATCGCAGTCATGTAAAAAATAAAGAAATGAAAAATCTGAACCTGGATGAGCAGCATAATGGCATCAGCAGGATGATTTATTATCTGCAAATGAAATTCCTCCTATTTGCAGCATCTAAAGCAACGGCCCAGTGAGGAAGACAGCAGGTCTTTTCTACTGTCACAAACTTTTTAATCTCCATTGTGCAAAAAATATAAATCTCAAATTTTATAGCCATATTACCTGTGCATGCAGAGTAAAAAAAAAAAAAAAAAGCCCACCATAGTAGTTTGAGTTTGCAGACTCTTACAAAAATATATCACGCCGTGTTTGTGAAACAAGCTGTGATGGTTCACCGTGCAGGTTAGGTTTGTTCCTGTGAGCTATTCCACTGAGGCAAGGCTAATTCAAAACACGAGTGCAGGAAAAGCACATTTATGGCAAACCATCTGTGCATTATACCGCCCTTCATTTTTATATTTATTTTTAAATTGCAGTGTATTAAATTTACACTCCTAAATTTAATCACCTCGTTAGTGATCTGATGTCTCACCAGTTCTGTAAAAGATCCAGCACCAACGACACTTTAATGGTGTAAAGGTGCATAAGAGGAAGAAATGTGCAATTACCAAGCAATGCACAATCTGCTAACAAAGCCAACCTCTGCTGCCAGCCAGCCGCTTTGCCAACTCTCATGCCTTTCTTGGACGTGCAAATGCGCCTTTGCTAACAAGCACCAAATGAACGCTCAAACAGAAGGTTGGAAGCTTGTTGAATGAGGGAGGAAATGGAGCTTTCGGTTTCAGGAAATTATGGTTGATTGATTATTCATGCAAAACTTGTAGATCAATTAAGGGATCTGAAACATCACAGGTGAACTTATCAGTGGTGAAATACAATTGTGAGCTGATCTGAGGGATGAGCCAAACAGTCGGGCTCTAATAACTTCGGCTTGTTTATTTCAGCCGATGGCTGCTGTGCAGGGAAATTGCAGCTCAACGTTTTCACACACAGATTGCATAGCTCAGCTTGTCCTTCTCTGCTACTTACTTGATTTGCCGTTATGACTCTCTGCTCCGCGTGTTATATTTTTTTGTCAAAGAGGCACAGCAGCAAACAGTGATTAAGGAAATTTGACACAACTGCAACACCTCCTGAAACGACAAACCGCTGCTTACGTCTCACAACTTGTTTGAGCTGTTCTGCAGAACGGCCAGTAAATCTAAAGCTTGATCCAGAATGAGTTTAAAACGGTAGGTGAACTTGGAAGTCACTCATCCAAGCCACACCTGAGCCACTCACTGCCATGCTTTCTTCAAGTCATTTGAAATTTGCTTTCACAAGCTGAGCACGGAGTAAACTAAACCCCGGGAACCTCCAAGCTCACTGCAGGTTGACGTTTTCTTTAGACACCAGGAAATGGAGCACAATTTTTGCGGGGTTACTACCTGTACGTCATGTGTGGTATAAAATCAGCCAGCACACGATAAATGTATTGAATTATGCCAATCACTGATAACAGTTATAATAAACTGGACCATCTATAAAGATTGTTTTTTTTTTTAGAAAAGTACCAACTAAGAAACAACTAAAGATTTAAAAATTGTACTAATCTTGTTCCAGTTAAAATGTAAAGTTTTTAGTCCACATATATCCATCCATCCATTATCTTTTCCCGCTTCTATCTTTTTCAAGTCGGTGGTGCCCATGTCCCGCTATCACTGTGTGAGAGACGGGGTGCACCCTGGACTCCTGTCCATCACAGGGACACATAGAGACAAACACACAGTCACTCTCTCACTGGGACAATTCAGTTACCAATCAGTCTAACATGCATGCTTTTGGTCTGTGGGAGGAAACTCAAGTATCCAGAGAAAACCCATGCATGCATGGAGAGAACATGCAAACTCCATCTAGAAAGGTCCCCAAACAGGATTTGAACCGGCGACCTTCTCGCTGCGAGGCAAGAGCTCTACCAACGGTGCCACCGTGCTGCTCTTGTCTACATACACTAAGTCATAATCCAGAGTTGTTGCACCCAACATTTAACAATTTGGGAAACGTTTAACATTTCATATCATGGAGGAGGAGCCTTGGAGTCATGAGAGGATGAATAAAAAAGAAACTGAATTTGGGCGAAAGAGTCAGTAAGCAGGCATCATATTTGAAGAAATGTTTTCCTTTTTATCTATTTTAATTTGAGCACAAATTGATCCAACTCTTCTTTTGTTGTAACAATATTCCTTGTAGTTTAATGGTTCTTCCTGAATTTCAGCAAATATTATTCTTCCATTCTCAGAGACTTATTTACGATTTGCTAATTCATTCTGCAAAACTTCCAACTTTGGTTTTAAGATGTGGTCTATAAAAGATGCCTATGTGACACCGACAGACAAAAATCAGCTCCAACGTTAAAAATAAAACAACAAGTGTTGTCAAGAGTTACAAAAGGATAATCATCAATATCGATCTCTACATCACTTTGTTAATAGCAGCATCAGAATGATCTAACTGCACCTATTGTCATTTCTTGTACTGTGAGTGAATTAATTAAAGACAAGCTCTGGTTTAAACTCCTCTCATATTTCTTAGGTATGACCCAGTTCCTCTGTCAAACAGTGTTAAGAAAATATTAAAGTTTTGCTCTGCAGCTAACCAAAAGTCACACAAACAAAGCAAAAATGTTAGCTTTATATTTCAGGTAACACATTGATGAAAAGGGAAGAACACTTAAAATATGCAAACCTAGCAGGTTAACAACAACGACACAATGACTTTACTGTAAGCTGCCCCTTGTCTCTGACTCAGAGCCACACAAGTAGCTTTGTCTTTAGCTTCAAATGATGAATAATACATGGATTTATATTGCAGGTTCTGCTGCACTTGCTTTAATTTATATTCTGTTAAATTGCTCGTTACACGACTAACAATGTCGAACTGTAAAAGTGTGGCGTGAAATTTGGATCACTCCATGAGGTGGTGACGATGAGGAGTTAAATTGAAGCTGACAATCAGGAAGCAGTCAGGCAAAGGAACTAAAAACTTTCTTTAAACAAAACTGAAGGCTTTTCGAGGCAACAAGTTATGAACAAAAAGAGCAGATTGCAATAAAACAAAAGCAAAATCTGACATAAAGGAAAAAAGTGCCATATATATATATATATATATATATATATATATATATATATGATAAGGATCAAAGGAAACCAGAAACAATAAATCAAGAGTAAAAGCTCATTTGTGAAAGAGAAATAAAATAGAACAGGTGTGGTAATTAGAGATGAGGATCAGGTGTTTATAAAAGCAGAAAACAGGAAAAACCAAGGAAACTGAGGGGATAAAATACTGTTAAAAAATAAAATGTATGAAAATTGTTAAAACCATATGAGCACAAATCACATAAAAGAACAAAAACAGCAAAAATAATGCAATTTGAACCACAATACAAATATCCAAGTATAAAATCCTCCTCCAAGCATTATTCTCATGAGCAAAAGGCTTGTTTATGCCTACGCTTTGTGATTTATGTATTAAGAGACGTGTTCCATTATTTTAAACTGTGTTCAACATGCTCTTAAGTAATCCAGAGAGCCACGAGAGCCTCTCCTATAGCATTTAAATGGTTTCTATTACAATAAGAGCTGTTTGGGGGGTATGAATGGGCTTTGAGGTGAAAGATTTAAAAAGAAAAACAAATGAGCACAGCTATATAAAAAAATCAGCTGTTAAAACAAACAATGAAACAGAAAAATCATGTTGGAAAATTAACTTGGAAAAAGCAAAATAATAATAATAATAATCCATCCATCCATCAGGAAGGAGGTTGGGGAGCATTGAGTGAGTGAGCATTGAGTGTGGAACCGCTGGACTGAGGAACAGCTTCTACCCTGAGGCTGTTAGACTCATGAATCTCTGGCTAGAGTAATCATTGTGAAAAACCATGTCATGTTGCTGCTGATCTGTTTCATGTTGCTGCTGATCTGTTTCAATGTTGGTGTGTTCATGCGTGCACATCTGCTCACAGACTCATGTTCATGTTTGTGGTGATGTTCAATGTTTTATGTTATGAGTGCTTAGTGTATATTTAGTTGATGTTTTTCTTGGTTCATGTCTTGGATGTTATTACTGTTTTTCTTATACATTTTATTGTTGGATGTAACTGGGACCCTGTGTACATAATTTCGCTCCACCACATGTACCACATGAGGTGCGAATGACAATAAAGAAACTCTGACTCTGACTCTGACTCTGACTCTGACTCTGATTATCTTCCGCTTGGTCCAACATTGGGTCATGGGGTCAGCAGCTTAAACAGGGAGGCCCAGACATCTCTTTTCACAGCCACCTCTTCCAGCTCTTTTGGGAGGACCTCAAGGCTGCACCGAGCTATTCTCTCCATAAAATATCAACATTCATGCTCAATCATCCAGGTACAAAATCCAATAATGGTTAATCAGGTCATCTGGACAGTTTCTTTTTTGTGGAAAGACCTTTCGCTCTCTATCCAGAGGACTTAATCAGTCTGAGGAGTCCCAAGTAAACTGTTTTCCCTGTACTAACCAGTACACTCTTTTAGTGGACCAACCAGTTTGTTGGTGATAAGATGGTTTCTGGGGGCTGTCCTTTCCCCCATTGACTCCTCCCTGGTAGGCAGCCACGGCCAAAGTGGTTCAAGACATCAAAGTTCATGCTCAATCATCCAGGTACAAAATCCAATAATGGTCAATAAAAGTTATGAATAGAATCGGTGACAACAGGCAGTTGGTGGAGTCCAACTCCCACACTGAAGAGGTCCGACTTACTACCGGCAATGCGTACCAAACTCTTGCACCTCTTGTATAGGGATCTAACAGCCCATAGCCATTGGGCCCCCAATCCTACACTCATGGTGCACCCCTCACAGTTTGCCTCAAGGAACATGGTTGAAAGCCATCTCCAAGTCCACAAACCACATGTAGACTGGATGGGCAAACTCCCATGACCCCCCGAGGACCCTAGTGAGGGTAAAGAGCTGGTAGCGTTCCACGGCCAAGACGGAACCTGTATTGTTTCTCTTGTATCTGAGGTTCGACTGTAAAATAAACCCTTTATTTTTTTTTATTTAACTACTTAAGTTTGTATTAATTCCATAGTGTTTTGGGTAGATTAAAAAAACCTGCCCAACATGTAAAACTAAAGGAAGATGATATTTATAAATAAAGAGAAGGAGCAATCCCTGTGTACATTTTAACATATAAATATAGAAAATATCCTTTTGTTGTTGTTGTTTGTAATATTAGTTGTTCTGAGACTACTACATATTTCTTAACATGACTGCATTGACTGCTCCAAAGTCCTTGAGTGACCCGAGTTTGATCAGATAAAACATGGCAGAAAAACAGCGTTACAATGAATTAAAAAAAACGTACAGGCTTGTCTTTGTCACGTTCATGTTGTTGTACAAACTGTTGTGTCAGACATGCTGCTCTTTGGCTCTCTGACATTATCATCACACACGGACTAGTTCACCTGGAAGAAACTTCTGTGAGCTACAGACACAGACACGTCTGTGTAAAGTCACACAGGCTTAATGGTTTGTTTTCCACTGCTTCCTTCTTCAGGGGTCAACACAGCGAGCGAACTCACATGAAAGATTTGACAATTTGTTTTATGCCAAATGTCCTTGCTGGCGCAACCTGGGCTTGAACCTGCAACCTCAGGGTTATAAGACCACGACACTGACCACGAGCTACAGCAGCCAGGCTTAATAAATTATTTTAAACCGCATGAAAATCTTTCTGGCACCACTGCTACAATGTTCCTATGAGCATTTTTCTGGCACACTCTTTCACTACAAGACAGGAATATTCTGAAAAACGTCTGTGTATTTTCTGGGATTATTTACAGATCTCGCTCTGAACTTTGCTCTGAGAATTACCGGTAAATGAAAATTAAAAGCTATTTGGATGCAAATCATTAAAAAAAAAAAAAAGATTTGTAATAGAATCTGAACAAACTAAACCCAATTTGGTGTGAACGGGCACTTCTGTGAAATCAAAGCTCTCTCTTGGATAAAGATAAAGGCCCAGAGGGAAAAAATAAACACTCTAAAGAAACGCACACGTCATTTTCTGTGTCATTCGCAGCAGTGCTACACACAGACATGTGCAGGAATGCTGCTGGCATAGATCTGCTGCCAAAATTAGTTACCCACCCACTTCTACTGTAGACGCTCAGTTTAGCCTGAAACATACTGCAACTAAGAATACAAACAAATGTGAGTTCTATGTTTGAACAAATATCATTTTCAGCCAGATTGCATGAATTAGAACACAGAATCTCAATATATTATCTCTCAGTAACCTTCCATGTCATGTTCCTCTTCCTACGTCTGGCAATGATTTCAGTAGGAGATGCTGAAATGCTGAAACCTGGAGAAGCCGGGTAGACAGTCCAACCACGAAAAGCATCGGCTGACGTCTGCTGAGCAAGTCAACAAAAGGCTTATGTAGTCAATGTAAAGGCTCTGACAGCAAGAGCTGCGCACTCAAGCAGAAATCTGGGTGAATATTATGTCTTTATGCTACAGTATATAAACACTTTTCATTGCACTAACTAAAATCATTGCTCTGTGTTCATTTAATGCACATAAATGCTTCCTTTGAGGGAGATTTATTAGTACTTGGATGTCTTTTTTTGAAAGCAAGTTGGTTTGTACTTTTATAAGAAACCCAGCCAAGAGTTGAGGTTGGACTCTTTAGGGATTCTTTCTTAAATAAATTTATATAAATTTTAAGATATCTGAGGTGGTTTAGAGGTGAAAACAGAAAATCTAAATGTTGCTTTAAGGAAAGATGTTTCTTTTACTTTTCTCCCATGTCTGCATGTCAGTGTTGTATAAAGTACCTCAAAAGTGATACTTCAGTGAAAGTACAAGTATCTTACCATAAAATTACTTTGGTAAAAGTTAAAGTTTCCTTTAAAATTATTACTTAAGTAAAAGTCTTAACGTATCGGACATTTAATGTACTTAAGTATCAAAAGTAAATTTCTCTTCTAAAATGTACTTAAAGAGTATTAAGTAGAAGTAAATGGTTAGAATTTCCAAAACAACATTTATTGGGTTCAATATCCAGTGACAAAAACTGGGGAAGTTTGAACTGAACAATAAAAGATTGAAGTTTATTCATTCAACCTTTATTAACTTGTATTAACAAAGTTGTTAGAAAGTCCAGATTGTTGGCTTGTTTACTGAGCTTGTTTCTTTCTGACTAATTAATAATACAGGATGTATTATAGGATAATATAATAGAAGCAGTTCATGTCCTGGAGAACACCAAACTTCTCCTTTTGAGCAGCTACCGTCATTTTCACAACTAGGAA